GAGCCCAGGACAGCAGTCCTAGCTTATATAGTCTAAACCCACCATTCCCAACGCGAACGTGCGCCCCTGCAGCCTTCTTCTCTCGCCCGTGCGACCTCCATCCAGGCGGTCGCTATTATGAATAGTCTGCACGAATGTGTGTGGCTGCAAATCTCATCTGAGCTGAATCTCGCCGAAGATCCCTCCGATAGTTGGCTGTCCGCTCCCTTGGGAGCTCCACCGTCGCAATCTCAGTGGTCCAGGCGTTCCATACGAGGAGCCGATCGCCGCACAGATCATGGTTCGTGGGGAACAGAGTGAGCTTCCTTGCTTGACGCGACGGCAGGAATGCCACTCACGGTGGACCAATTGTCAGCGGGACACTCGGAAAGTGGAAAAAGTTAAAACTTGAAAAGGGGCTGGCGGTGTACTGTCTAAGGGCATCGTTCTTCTCGGAGAGCCAATGAAGTCAGTGGTTGATTATGAAAGGAGATTCAGTCGAGAAGCAGAAGGACGAAAAGTGTTCTTAAAACAACACACAGATCAATGAATGGATTTGTTTACTCGATTGTCTGGTGCCGTCCCGGTACCCGAGGAGCTGATCCGATCTCCACTCTTCGGTCTTCCTCCATTGAATGCCAGTGCCAGAGATTGTGAGTGACATCCCTTGGTTTGGTGGCGTCGAGTGCCAGCGCTGACAGAAGCAAGAATTGACGTGAGGTTACACACGCTGGTTGTTGGTCAGGCATACCCAGCTGGCTGGATGGCAAAGCCGATCAATGAAGATGTGAACCCTCGCAGGCAATCACTCCCTTCCACTGACTCGATGGCATGCTTTTAGTCTCTTGGGGTTCTGCAGAATCGCGGCCTAAGTGGGCGCGAAAACTAGCCGAGATCGTCAGAGATAAGCCAATCCGGCAGAAGGAACAGCTGAACTGGGTGATGGTAGTGCTGGTGATTGGTAAGTGAGACAAGCCAAAGTTTTGAGAGGTGTCACTCTTCCCCGCCCGGGAAGACTCACTCGCGCGCAGCTCAGCTCGGCTGTTTCTTCCTCACCATCTCATCATCTCCATACCTGCAGAGTTTCTTTGAGATGACCTGGCAATACCATTCTGATCCCCAGAAAAATTTGTGGATGCACCATGATGGCGACCTGTCGGATAGAAAAGCCGAAAGAGCTCACCGATTACTTGCACTACATGGGAATACGGGGTCGGGGTCCTGATCGGCGCTATGACAGCACAACTAATGGATCAACATGCATTCGATAATTTAGCTCGCCTATGAAACCTGCATCTGACTGTCATCGCCAGCACTATTCATACATCTGGTCTATCAATCAAAAATGGCACCCGCCCAGTGGTATCTCAAACGAAAGTATCGCCATACAGGGGACTGTGAATGTTGAATAAAGAACCTCTTCTGTTTAACTCCTTCAAACACCATGCTCCAAGGAAATAGTCTATACCCATAATGTCATGCGTGGTTGATTGTGGTATCAATAAGACAATCTCAGCGCGTCGAACTCAAACATCAGCTGGCTGTCCATCAGGAGAAACGACTCGTACCGGAGGCCACGTTCGCGCTGGTACGCTTCGGACCACACGGGGACGCTACTGTTCCAAACGCTGCCATACCCCTCGAAAAGCCTGCGCCAGTAACAGGCCTCGGCTGCTTTGGTCAGGTACCGCTCGCGGAAGGTTCGCACGCTGTTGTTGGCAATCCGCTCCGCAAGACTGGGGTCGGCCAACAGAGGTTCGAGCTTGTCTGATAAGTCGCTGAAATCCCGCTCAACTTCGACATAGTTCTGCTGCGGCCCGTCTGGTACGAGAAGGTAGTGGTGGTGTTGGATATACTGCAGCTTATGCGCCACAATGACCGAGTTGCATGCTTGCCGGTACTTCAGTGACGCAGAATACGAGCGACCTGCATCACACATCCCAGTCAGTACAGATGCGGTCGGGCATCGCTAGCTTTAGGAGCAAAAGCTTACCTTCGACATGAGCGATGAACATATACTGACAATGATCCTCCATGGGTATTATGTTCGTCCTCTGATCCCAGTCGACCTGCTTCACATCCCCCCATGGTTGATCTCGCGCAGCTTCCATCAAGGCGCGGCGCAATTTGGGGGCGAAGCTAGGCTTTCCTCGCCAGACCAGCTGCGGTTTCTTCTCTGACCAAGGGATATCCGCGCGTTTGATACGGTTAACAACTTGGTCGTACGGCCCGATCGAATTCTGAATATTCTCCCAGGCCCAGAACCCGAAGTCAGGCATTAGCCAGACAGCCTCCTCCGTGGCGGATCGTGCCAAGGTCCACACAGGATGGTCGGAGTTTGTCACGTCTTCCACCTTGTCCTCCACGGAGAACACAAACTCGATATCTCGTTGCGAGGTACGATTGGCGTCGGCGACTAACGCCCGGTGAATTGAACTCAGTACGGCGACGATCTTACGTCGATGGTCTTCACCTTTGGACCGCGCCGCGACCACATAAAGCTCGCCGGCGTGGATAAACGCCCGCGCCATGCCATATGCTAGAGGAATCTCGTCCAAGTCATCCATAGCCAGCGCACCCTGAGACTTCCAAAAGCCCGTGGCGCGAACAACATCTTCGAAAAGACCGGGGAATGCATTCGTACACTGGGCACGATCAAGACCTTCATTGCTGCTGTCTCGAGCAGGTTGAAATTCCCATGCCGGACCTGGGGACAGTTGTTGCACCAGGCCCGGATGTGAACATGTCAGACAGCTGGCGCACTGGAAGGTGGTGGAGGTTTGACAGGCGCAGTGTCCGGCGGGGATCAACTGGGTCAACAGTGGGTGAACATAGTCGCGATCGGTATTGACGCAATACCAGATGATGATGATGCACAAAAAGCTCAGAAAGCCTGTGATGTAGAAGAGGCAGAGATGATAGCTTTGTCGAAGGCGCCAGCGAGAGCAACCGGAGAGCGCCATCGCGAAAGGGCAGACGAAGAGAGATGAAACTGGGTGGAAATGGATCGCATTGTAAGGGCAGTCGCACCCAGGTCAAGGGGAAGAGGTGGAGAAAGCGCCGAAGGGGACGGGCGCACTTTGATGGCGTCCATTGTGTGCGTAATATAGCTGAGCGGCAGTCGTCAGGGGAGTGTCGACCCTGAATGGGGCCGTGCATGGGGGAGAAAAGGCAAGAGAGTCGAGGGCAACATCAACGCATGACGCGGCGATCGCGAAGATTCCCTGGTTGTTCGTGGCTGAAACACTTGTCGCTGGCCGATCTTTCCCCGGTCGGTTGGCGGTACTCACATCCTGATCGCTCTTATTGGCTTAGAAACTCCCTACCCGTCGCCATCCCTTGGTGGTTTGATGGCCAGCTTCTATAAATTGCGATGTGATCAGTGCTAAGCCTTTCCCTCTCATTCATTCCCACATGTTTTATTTCCTTGGTACTCGCTATTAAAGTTGTTTTACTCTCCTGAAGCGAGAGAACTCTACCCCGGGGGCCTGGCCCCCAATCCCTTGATTCTGAGACAAGAAGTTGCACAGGGACTGGGCAAGTCACTTAGTAACAAGTCCCGCCTGAGGCGGTGCAGCTCTGCTTCCCGACAGCGTTTCCCTTCCCACGATGATCCCGATGATCACAAGCGGGCTGAACAACTTACCGGGAGGCTGCAAACGCCCGACCTGCCTCTCCTGACGTTACTTTGGCGACGCAACACTGGGCTCTGTCGTACATATTAGTGCAGTAGCCACGATGAACTATCTTATTGGCTTCGGCGCAAGTCATGAGCTGATGACTGCATGAGACCTTTTGTGTGGGGTTACTCAATCAGAGCCGCCATGAGCATGTGTCGCAACCGTTAACTGTAGGCTGTCAAGTTTTTAACTACCATGTGCAACCCTACCCCGTACTCCATATACTCTAACTGATATAGGGGCTATAGATAGATAATCTCTGAGACCCCAGCGCTAAGATACTGTGATCTGTGGGCTTTTCAGGGGATTTTTTTAAGGAGACGGACAGCCTCACAGTATCCTCTTCGCAAATCATGCCCATCCCAGTTTAAGCTCTACGATGATCGGGGGCTGTTGACAAAGTAGGTTCAGGCAATTGGATACGTTAGAAAATCTCCCCCCTTTGCGTGTGCCCGCAGCCTTGAGTTTCTACTATTCGACCGATATGCACCTAACTTCGACGGACTTGAGCTACGAATGCAAAAAGCGACGGAGACATCTCAATGGATTGCTCGCTTGCTCACTTCTCGTGTCCGCCAAGTCACAAGCTGACGTAACAACAATATCGATCCCAGCCTTTTGCAGCTCAACGCAACTCAGCTGGCCTTCTTGATTGATCTCTTTTTTCTCATCCACGGAAAGGGCCGTGGAGAAAGCACGTCGTGTTGCCCCAATCAACGGCTCCACTCTATCCCGCCTTGGTGGGGTCGCTACAAGACACCGTCCCCAGTCCGCGGCTTGCATCGCGGAATGACCTCCCAAGTCCATCGTCTAGCGTCCATTAGACTATCCAAGATTTGTGGCAGTTCGTCCGAGCCGATCTGTCGACTACTCCGTACGTTGCTAAGTATGTTGCTTAGGCGGGCAGTGTTTGTGCCCTGCCACTATCTATTCATTTGGAGCCTCATGAGCAAGGCTGGGGCACGCCTTTCCGAGGTTAACCGTCGCATAACAGTGTCATAGGATCAAGGCTATGGCAGAGCATTGCATCATATGCGGAGTTTACCCAGTGTTGACTTGGTGTGAAGGTTACTCACTCAGATCCTTTCGTCTATTAATAAAGATAGGCTAACTGAGCAGCACAAGGGATTTTCTGCTGACGATGCCGCGGCTACAACAGCAACAGGGCTGTAAAAGCTGTCTACAGGCGATAATTCTCCCACATGTGAATTTACTAACTGCTATACTAGTTCCCTTTATTCCGTTAGTTTCCCTTTCTAGTAGTTAGGCGATCTCCTGGCACCCAGGTTGCGGTCTACTAGATCGATCCACATCACCCTATCTGCTACATTTGCTTTGCGTACCATTAACAATGGACTGCATTATATTGTTCTCGGTGAGAACAACACCAACACTATATGGCCAAGTACAGCACACGGCAATCAAAATAACAATACCAAAAAAGATAGAAAGACTAAATATCAGAAACCAGAGCATACCCCTCCATAATCACATCCGGGAAAGAGGAATGAAGCCATGAAAGAAACAAATCCACAAAGGCATCAATATCCATCGTAGGTGCCGCGAAATATATTTTGAGTCCTTCGCGCGAGGTTTCGGTGACTTCTGGATGAATGGCTTTGAGGGACTGATGAAGGTAGGCAATGTCTTCATTCAGTATATCTTCGGCTGTGTCTGCTTTGTATTTCATTTCAATTGATGAGCATGTTTATCAGTACATGCCTTGCTTACCATGCTCACTACGTAAAATTCCTAGTATCTGGGGTTGATTCATTCATGACTCAAAGATAAGAACATCATAACTATGATATGCTATGATATACTAATGCATAGACTATAGTAATGCTGGACACCTACTATCAGCAAACTAAATAAGATAGTATGCAAGCAAGCAAGGACTATCTCCGCCACGATTTAGGCAACAATAGCTCGCATATTACGAATTATGGTACTGCCTACAGGTGTTGATATCGCACATGTGAATATCTTAGCAGATTACACTGTATTTCCACCAGGATCTGTTAGTTTAATTTATTTGGCTGGCCTTTATAACATCCATGTTTCACGGCGGATTTGGGGTCATATGTACAACTAATGACGGTGTATATTGTTCAATTTTTTTTTTTTTTTTTCTCGATGGAGCAACTGTGACTCAAATCTCCTTGAATATTTGATGAGCAAGCTTGAGACACAGTTGTTCAGAGAGAGCTTAGATAAAATCTTGAGTTGCTATCCCAGTAGTATAATTCTATACCTGTCGTCTTATATCTACCCCCGCTCGGGGAGGACGAGTGAGCGGGTGATATAACATGATCAGTTTTCTATGCTTCTCGATAGAGCTTAGCTACTAGAGCATTGGCCCCTGTATCCCTACTCAATCTAATGCTTATGATCGAACTGGTCCGCCACTTCATCAAGACAAGTCAAGCATGTTGCGAAGCTGGTCTCCCAGAACGCTAGTAAGAAATAGTTGATTAACTAATCGGCATAATTATGGATTGCCGATTAATAGTCAAACTACCTCATCAAATAGTTACATGAGCCTAGGCTTTTCGTTAGAAGATAAGGCCTGAAATTCTGCGAAGGTAGGAGTAAGTTGTTGGAGCTGCACGTCTCGGGCATTCTGGCTTCGTTTACCTCTCTTATGAATTGTCGCTACAGTAGATGGTACTGTTGAACATAATATTTTTGTAGTCCAATATTGCTCAAGAAAACTCCTCGCCGTTATAGCGACTTCAAATTCCGCGAAATATTCACTGCTCGTCCCACAATTGCTTAAACAAACTCCTCTCAACAAGCAGATCCCCCGGCTCCCCAGTCTCCACAACACAGCCATTTTGCATAATCACAACTTGATCAAAGTCCCGAATACATCTCAACCGATGCGTCACTGCAATTACGGTCGCATGTGTGAAATAGTCTTTGATGATCTGGAACATTAACCGCTCTGTAGTGACATCAACATTCCCACTGATTTCGTCAAGGACAAGTATCTTGGTTTCTCTCTTCCGGAGAAGCGCTCTCACTAGACTTAACAGCTGGAATTGGCCGCGTGAGAAAGTCGAAGTACTTATTTCAAGGTCTAGCGAATAAGGCTGCCCTGTACTTGGATCCATCCCTAGACCTACAGTTTCCAGAGCTGAGAGCATTGCATCGTCGCCGAATTTTTCTCCACTTGGATCGAGGTTGAATCGAAGTGTTCCTGGGAGGATGAGTGGATCTTGGGGTATAACGGTAAGTCGGGCCCGCAGAACGTCGCAGGGAACACCGCGCAGGTCCATCTCGTCAACGAACACAGAGCCCGCGATAGGTTCAAGAAGCTTAAATAGAAGAAGGATGAGCGAGCTTTTACCACTTCCGCTTCTACCGCAGACTGCTATTTTTTCTCCGGCTTGAATCGATAGAGTAATATCGCGCAGAATGCATTGATGAGGATTCTGGTGGGCGTCATAGCTTGCGTAGATATGATCGAGCCTGATCGAGCCACGAGATGGCCAGTCCTCCGCAGGCTGTTGTGTAAGCTCACTATTTGGGGCATCTTCCCTCGGAACAGTCTCTTCATAACTCTTAACGCGGGCGATCGCGCCAAGAGTCGTCTCCAATTGTGTCCACGAAGTAATGAGATACGATAAGCTGCTACTGAACCCCAAGATATTCAGCAAAGAAACTGCAATAGCTCCAGTATGAGCTGATGATCCTAGCGTAACCGCCACAGTGACAACAATGATCGCCAGACCCGCTGCCATGAGGTCGAGGACGAGGTTCAGCCAACGCTGGATACAAAACATAGTGTAATACGGTTGGATCGCCCTATCGACCAGTTGTCGACACCGCGCCGCCCATGCGGCTTGCCAGCCAAATGCACGGATAGTGTCCATGCCCGAGGCCGTCTCAAGGAAGTGTGTGTAGAGCGGGCTCTGTGCTTCGAGTTCCATGAGCCGTAGCTGACGTGAAGTCCGCAGGTAAAAGTTCTGCAGAGCGTAGAAAACAGTCATAACGAATGGCACCGTGATAGCGATATATTTGTTTCCTGCAGCGATGAGCATAACTTCGGCGATTAGCGTTCCAGCGCCGAAGATCGTCATGAGAAGTGCGCCCGATAGTTGGTTGTCGATTTGGGAAAGGTCTTGGCTGAATCTATTCAGGATGATTCCGCTGTCGTGCGTGGTGAAGAATGAATAGGATGCGTTCATGGTAGCCGTTAGAAGCTGTGTGTGTAAGCGGCGGGAGCTTTTCGCGACGAGGAAGATTATGAGGAATGTGATGCTGAGAATGGTGCCAACTAGCTGGATGAAAGCACAAATCCCGTATACCCCAAGGTAAACACCGAGGGAGTAGTTGAAGTCATTGTCGGACCAGTATTGGAGCCATAGAGTAGGGAATTTCGATCCGAATACCTGCACGACTATGAGGCCTAGGAAGCAAGCGGACGATCCCCAGCCCATTGAATTTACGTAGTATTTGTAGACAGACAAGTCTCCGAGACGGCGTGGTAAGTCCTGGCGGGACTCTATGAGCTTTGTCTCCGTCCCTGTGGTTATGGGAGTTCGTTCTTCGGTAGGTTTAACTTCGCTCCCACTCGGTATAGAAATAATGTTGTCTTGAAGCACTTCAGATGGGGATACTGATGTGGTTGTGCCATCGTGAAGGTTTATAATCGTATCAGGTGAGGTAACGCGCTCGGGATCACTGCAAGCAAGAACAACGGCAGCATTGTGGGCTTTGCATAATCCTTTAGGACCAAAAGCGCGATCAAAAACCTTCTTGGCTGTGATAACGTCTAATGCACTGAGTACGTCGTCGAGGACTAGGAGCTTTCTGCGCGAGTATAGGACCCGCGCTATTGCCAAGCGCTGCTTCTGCCCACCGCTAAGTGAAGTACCACCGGAGCCAACGCAAGTCCTGTCTCCTTCGGAGAAAGCAGAGATGTCTTCGTCAAGCGCACATGCGTGGAGAACAGTGGTATACCATTTCTCGTCAAAATAGGAAGGGCCAGTCACGCATTCCCTAACAGAGACACTTGGCAACCAGGGCTCTTGTGTACAGTAAGCTATGGCCACTGACTTTGAGTAAGACCCAGCGACGCAAGGTACTGCTCCTATGAGGCTTTTGAGTAGCGAAGACTTTCCAGAGCCGGTAGCCCCTGTGACGATTGCCAGCGTAGAGGAGTGTATCTCGACGTTCACGTTCGTCAAAATCGGTGTGGTTGAGTCCGGATATTTGAAGGCAGCATTGTGTACTGATAGACACTTGCCATTCACGGGGAGGGCTTCTAGCTCAAGCACGCTCGGTGAGAGCGCTTTGATTGGTACCTGATTCTCGTCACTGTGGCAGGAGATCTGGCCGGCCGCAACTTCGGGCAAATCAAGATAGTCCTGAATTCGCTTGAAGCAACCTAGAGCAACTCCCATCTGGGTTATTCCGTGAACAAAGACTTGTATAGGCTGAGTGACTAAAGCAATCAGGGCGAGTACGGTAAAGGAGTTTGCTGAAGTGACCACACCACTTCCGGAGACCATGGTGAAAATCGTAAACGTTAAAATAGGCCCGGCAATCTGTGGTATATTTGCTATAGGTGCCTATCAGTATGGAGTCATCGCTGGAGTGGATAAGAAGGACTTGTACCAACAACATTTCTCCACATTATAAGCATGCGGGCCCCCCGAGCACGTTCAAGCTCGGCGTTGCGAAGGTCACATATTCGCCGTGCTACAAAAGAAGAAAAACCGAGCAACTTGATGCTCCTAATCGAATTGAAAACAGATGCACTGATTGCAATACGCTCCTGGACAGCCTGGTTCCATATTTTCTGGCGTGGGGGTGACCGGGCGGCTACAACATAACTGAGGGACACGGCTGCCAAGGCACATCCAACCGATGCTAAGCATGCCCAACTTACTTGTCGTGCAAGGAAGAATATGGCAAGGCCGACCTCGATAGGCGAAGCAAAAAGGGCGTCTAATCGCAGCAAGCTGTTGCAGATAGTTTCTGTGTCGGTGCTCATCAACGTTAGCGCAGCTGAATTATTCACCGTAACAGTGTCAAGTCGTTGTATCTTCTCGTAGAGGGCAGTAACCAAAAGGCTTCGAATAACGGTGATGGCACGATTCAGCCCATGCATATATAGCGACGTCGTGGCCTGGACAGATATCTCTTCAGCTTGCTTCACGGCTCTGATCGGTAGACGAGTGTTGGAAGCGTACTGCCGTTCCCAGATAGATCAAGACTGTAGCTCCAACAAGCGCCCCTCCGACAGCATTGTCTTTAGTTGAAGCAGAGAGATATCGAATCACACAATTAAGAAATAACGGCTGCGCTATTTTGAGACCTATGAGACCAATTCGGGGGATTGCTGTCCACATCAAAGTTCGTCGAACGCAAGACAATGTTGTCAGCAGTAGCTTATGTTGGCCTCCATGGCGATCCTTCCGAGCTACATAGTCATTAAATACCTCGGTTCAGTTCATCTCAAGAAAGAGTAAGTAACATACTCGACAACCATTCCGACTCGAACTTGGCCTGCACTGCTTCAGCCGAGAGGTTGGAATCAATAGGGAAAAGATGGCTGCCATTCAACAGCCCGCGGGCCCCGCGGGCCAGCAAGGGATTTAGCCACCAGAAAATGACACGATTCACCATGCCCCCTAACTTTTCTGGAGAATAATCAACGAATTGAGGTTTCAAATATTTATGTTTCTCTTGCGACTCTGCTATGAGTAACAAGAAACGAACACCCAGGCCTGCAGTACATGTTCCTGCAATAGTAGAAGGAAATCGTAGCCATAATGTCCGGGCCTGTACACCATCAAACAATGTGCTAAGTAGAAGATAAAAACAAAGCAGATTGGAAGGCGAAACCGATCGTACGTGCTCCTTCCATGACAGAATCGGTATGCCGAGGGAGCATACAAATGATAGGGAGGCCGATGCAATGGTGAATTTATTGCGATACTGAGGAGACATTGCCCAGAGCATCAATAAAATAAGTTGGCTGCAGATCAAAGCGAGGCTCAGAATGATCTTCAAACAGATAGATACCTTGGCATGCTGATTTGATTCCAATGTGATCTTCCTGGATTGCCCAAGGAGCTGCAGTATCCTGCAGGCTACGGCTGGGAGAAAACATGCCGATAGGACGATGCCAAATATCACCTGCTCAAAGAGTAAGGTAAAGTCCAAGTAGGAGCAGCCATGAATTGGCGGCCCAAATGTCCTATCAGCTGCTGAGCTGCAAGAGCTTGCCATGTTAGTTGATGAACGATAGCCAATGTGTAGTTACCTTGTTATTCGTGAAAGTCAGAACATGCACGCCGACACAGTTCAACGACCTTAGTGTGGGGTTTTAAAGATGGGTTCACAAGCAATCTGATCAAAAGAAGAGAGGGGTTTTCCCTAGGCAACAGCAGAAGTGCGTCTGTATCTGACGCTAAGGCAACTAGTCGGTTAGTTTTATATTAAACCTTGCAGCTCCTTATCTGGGCTTGATTGCACCAGTCAGATACGTATTCCGTCTAGTCGGAAGAATCCCTGTCTGGGGTTACGACTGATGGCTGGTTGGGGAGTTAATCGTCTGGATTCATACCCAAAGATACATGAAAAAAAAAAAAAAAAAAAAAAAAAAGTATTGTACATGTGTATAGAGATTGGACGCTACCCTAATGAAATTTTCTGGATCCTATAAATATGATCTTATCTAGCATAAGTAGTCTGCGATTTCAAGACACCTATCTTTAGGTTATATTCGTGATAGATAGTATATGTATCTTCTAATAGCATTCTAGACTGTTTCATTCTCATATGTTAAGAGACTTTTTGAAAATAGGTAATGTGTCTATCGTATCATTATGCTTTATTATATTTGCAAACTTATAAATGCCTTCATAACTAGTGGAGACATGATAGTCAATAGTCTATCTCTCCAGTCTTCTCTGTGATTGCTGTGATATATCTGCCTACATTCTCAACATCGAGTCAATGAGCAATTGTTCATTTCCTCTTAATGAGCCTGGAGGCGGGGCGAAGTATTTTCGCTGCGACGTGGCGTGGCTCTGGGAATGCAATGGAAGCTTTCCAACAACCTTCCCTTTACAGAAACCCTTGGTACATCCACCCCTCTAGCATCCATAGCAGGACATGCTCCCACGTCACCATTTAACCTTGACCCTTCACGCAGCCCCCTCACCCCTAGCTGCCTCAGTCCTTGCGTACGCCTCCTCCAAATTCGCAAGCCGCTGCCTGATCGACTGCGGCTTTCGCTGATACGTGCACAGCGTCGCAACGAGGCACGCCGCCGCGATACCCGCACAGATGCGCATGTCGGTATTGAACGTGCTAACATAGACCTGGCGAACTAGAAGCTGCTGCTGCACTGGGAGCCGGGAGATCGCGGCGGGGGTCCGGTAGAATGCATCCAGTTGCTCGGGTGTGAGAACGCCGGCGAGCGAGTGCTGGACGTCTTTGTTGAAGACGATGAAGCCCGAGGCGATGCCGATGCTTCCGCCGAAAATGCGCAGTTGGGCGACGATTCCTTGGGCGACGGCTATAAAGGCGGTAGAGGTTAGCTTTTTTACTTGATATTTAGATGAGTATCAAGGGATATCTGCTCGACTACCGCAGCCGGATATACGCATTGGAGGATAAGTTTAAGGGACGCACGTACCATGATCCTGAAATTCAGCCTGCATCGTCGTAAGAAACGTGATTGTAGAGAGACTCAACCCGATTCCAAACCCCAGAATTGCTTCGAGTCCCCACTGCCTCGGTGCAGGGTCTACCGAGTCCGTCAGAGTCGAGAGCGAGGCACTCCCAATCACCATGAAAATGCTCGCCAGGTTCAGCGTCCAGAAGGCATTGTTTCGCTTCGCAGACGCGGCCCCGCCGATCGCAGAGCCGACGGCTGTGCCTGCCATCAACGGGAGGAGCAAAATCCCAGATGCGACTGCGTCCTTCACATTGACAATCTGTGCGCGCAGGGGGATGTTGACGATGGCCAGAAGCATGACAAATCCAGTCAGGATGGTGCTCCTGTTGCGGGCCCGTTAGTGGGGTGTTGTTCAGAATTCTCAGGGGATCGCTTCCAAAGAAACTCACACAAAGCCGGCGACCATGACACGGTTTGACAGTAGCCGGAACGGCAGTTGAGGCCGAATCTGCTTGAAATTCGGTTTGGATAAGATAACCCATTGCCAGTAGACAAGCGCTCCCCATGACAGTACGGAGATGATGAGGACGATAATGACCGGGGCGCTGTTCCACGCGTAGGCTCTGATGGCTGCTTCATTCAAGATGAAGACGAACAGGACAGATCCGACAAGTATGAGAAGTGCGCCGAGATAGTCAAGGTGTCGGAAACGAACATTCTTCGCGAAATGGAAATCGTTGGGCCACACGAGTAGCAGGGTGACCAGAGGAACAAACGCACATGGGCCGCTAGACAAGGTGATCAGACAGTTTTCTTCATCTGCATCTCTTAAGCTGTTTCAAGGACGTACTTTATCCAGAATCCCCAACGCCAGGTACGATAACTCGTCAGGGCGCCCCCGATCAACGGTCCGCTAATCCCAGCAAGAGCGACAACCACGCCGATGATGCCAGATATTGCGGGGAGTAACGGAGGGGGGCTGATCTCGGGTAAAATAATCATGGCCATCGCGTACAGCCCCGATCCGCCGATTCCCTGCATCGCACGGAAGCCGATGAGCTGGCTCATATTCTTCGACGCGGCACATCCCATCGACGCGCCGAGGAAGATCAGGAAGCACATGCACAAGAGGAATTTCCGGCCAATGACATCAGATGATCTTGCCATGAAAACGGCGCATCCTGATTTGGTATTACTTGAAGATGTCCGGAGAAGAGAAGAGCAAGAAGTGAATATTCACCGACATAGGACAGGGTGTACGCCAGGACGATCCACGAGCAAGTTTTGAAACCATCGAATTCGTCAGAAATGGTGTATAGCATGGTCGAAATAATGGTGGTATCCATCAAAGACAAAAACAGTCCGATGGCGATGCTGCGGGAACTCATGGTCAGTGCTCCGTCACTCAGGCCGCGGGCGAAGCTTCTCTTGCACTTCTCTTGCAGTCTCACCAAAGAAGAATAATCACCAGCCTCCATGTTGCAATTTTCGGGCGTGTTATCTCAAAGGAAGGGGAAACATCTTCGCTGGTAGCCGTGGCCACCTCAGAACCCATAATGTTTACCCAAGAAATGGTAAATCGATGTAGAAGGGAATCAACACGGACAGATACAGGCACAGTGCGATATATTGAGGCTGGCGCAAAGGTGGTGCCTAGACAAGGCTTCAGCCCTACTTAAGTGCTCTAACTGCTAAGCTCAATGTCTGGGACACCCTCCTCGCTAACAAGCAGCAGTGATTGGTGCTGTCGTGAGGGGAAAACCCAACCCACGCGTTCCTTCGGCCAGGTGTCGGCTGCGGAGATGGACCCTTCCTAGTGTGGGCTGCCCGGCGTGACTGTGTCAGGTGCCAGGCTACTTATCCTCATATAATCTGATTTGGCATTTGGCCTATCCGGGGACGGCGCTACTTGCATGCCCAAAATCGCTAGCTCCGCCGATGGACGTGTCGGACGTGCACCAAGCGGTGTCAGCCTCATGCGTCCGAAGAAGCCTATACAGACCGACGGCGAGGTACACGTATACTATGACTTATATGTTCCAGGTTGCTTCAGACACCATAAGGCAGTACTTATCCAGGAGAGGCAAGACCTGGCCTGAAACTAAAAAAACGAACGGTTCAACGAACAAAACCGAGAATATCAGTTCTAGCACTATGCCTGCAACCCCACATATTATCCTGCTTCTGGGTGCTACCCTGCAGCAACGCGATGCAGCCACGGTTCTGATCGACGTGTACGGTATGCAAACCGACATCGCCGCCCTCAGCATCTCGTTCAATGGCTTCTACAGGACCATTGCAAATTATTCAGGATGAGGAGATTGATCTGGAGGATAGTCTGAACCAAGCCATGAACGATGCCATCGCCCCTAGGCGTGGTATTCATGTGCTATCCGTTCGTTAATGAGGGGTGAGTTAGCAGTAAGTCCTGGATCACTTTTCTAGGAAACGAGACTCAACTAGGTATCCCGGTCTTTGTCAATGCTGGGACATCGGAAGTCCTTTATGATGCCATCATGAAATTTGCTGAGAGCCTGAGGAAGAATGGTAATGAGGTTGAAGTGCTCGAAACTCCTAACGCAGCCAATGTTCCTTATCGGCTGGGTAAGAATTGGAACCTGGAAGACGCTCAGGCTATTTGCTTGGCGACTATGACGAAATTTCTCGAGAAAACCGGTATTTGAGTGAGCAGCTATAGATATACCTCTTCTCGAAGTGCTCAGGATAGACCCGTCGTCGACTGATCGAAAAATGTTATGTACATAAGCTAGAAAACTTGGTGCAATACCTTATATCCCCAGTCATATATAATATTTGCAACTTCGGAAACTGCAAAGTGCATTTTTCGAATTGCTTGAATTAAGACACAAAATTATGGGAAACAACGTATATTCGTCTGACACACACACACACATCTCCGTAGCTTGACTAGATTGTGAGTCTGAGCGCACCATTTTTATCGTCTCAAGGAAAAGTGAACAGTGCCGAAGACCTGTGATCTTCGACTTCTCCACCACATACTGAGACCGAAACATTTACATACATCTATGTAGACAATACAGTCTCCACACATGAAGAACTCATTACTTGGGCACAGTTCACAAGTAAACAAGTTTGATGGGGCATCATTGCACTCCATGCCGGGGGGTGGGGGGATCATCGCGCGGCTGCGGTTCGCCATACTCTTCCCCGTTACTGTTCTTTGCAAATCTCAACGTCCATTGACCTTCAGGTAACTTCCAAGAAAAGAAATAGTAGGTGTTTGCTATATACATAAAGGCAGATAAATCCACATACTGCCACTACACCGCTTCAAGTGAAGACACAGAAAGGCTAACTACTAAAGACCTTGCAACGCCATTGCCTCATTCAATCTCTTCACGAATACTTGAACATAGTCCGGTCCCAAGACGTTAGCATGATCACCTGGAACATGATTCAATTCAACCTTCTGACTTGAAAAGTTATCCCAAGCAGCTAGGCGTTTCTTCCACTCTTCAGCTGTAACATTCAGAAACTCCAATGGAGTGCAATGAAAGACATTCATGTGAGCGTTCACAATTCCATTCGGCTCATATTCTCTACCAATTTCCTGTAGGCTGAACGTGACGTTAATCCACTGCTCGAGGCCGCCTTTATTTAAACCCAATGCAAGGAGCTGAGCAGGATCGACTTCCTCGATTACTCTGGCCAAGGCTTCCTGCTTGGGGAGTCCAGAGAGCTCCATGATGAGAGACCGGTATGAATCGAGAGAGAGAAGGCCGAGAAAGTAGGAGATACTAAGCAGGCAGTCGGTCCATGTAACTCTTTTCAGGATTGGACTAACATATGGTGGACGGTTAAGGCAAGCTAAGTATTGAACTTGATCGCCTTGTTTCTCGAGGTACTTGGCAAGTTCGAATGCTAGCATCGTTCCGTAGGAGTATCTGAGGATAGCATAAGGGCCGTGCGGTTGGAGCTTCTTCATTGCGGAGTGGTAGGTGCGGATGCATTCGTCGATGCTGGTGAAATATGGCTCCTTGTGGTGGAATCCGCGGGCCCGGAATGCGTACACGGGTCGGTCTGTGATGAGCTTTGCCATGTTGATGAATATGAGGGCTTCGCCTGCGGCGGGGTGTATGAGCCATAGGGGTGTTTTGTTGCCGTTGGGCTGGAGCTTGACAGCTGGGATGTATTGGTGGTGATGTTGGCATGTTTCAGATAAACCACGGACGGTGTTGTGGGCCATCATCGTGGCGAGGGGGATTGGCTCATTTAGTGACAGTTTTGATCGCAGGCCATGTTGAAGCCGGATAAGCGTTAATGAGGTAAGGCCAAGCTCGAAAAGGTCGGTGTCGATTCCGATGTCTTCTTGAGGTAGGGATAGGAGTTCTGCTAATTCTTCCACGATTGCTTGCTCGGTTGGGGACCCGGGTGGTCTAGATATCGATCGTCGATGCCTCTTGATCATGTCTCTGTTACTAGCTTCTTCCATTTTGTAGTGGCCACTTGCAACTTCCCGCTGCAGGTTAGAACGGGGAAGCTTCCCCAGGGATGTGCGTCTTATACTTTGTAGAGGCAGGATATACGGGCGGACATTTGTTATCATTGTGATGCGGTGCGTTATCGCAGTCATCGTCTCATACCTAGCTTTGACATCTCTAACGCAATAGCTATGCTGGTAGATGACGCAAGGTCTCTCTGTGTCTGCATCCCTGGGACGGAATGGAAAGCATATCACACAGTCGGAAACAATTCCCGGTATGTTTGCGTCCTCTATAGCGGCTTCTAACTGCTGCGGAGCATATTTGACGCCGTTAACAGTGATCAATTCTTTCGTCCTCCCGGACAGATTGATTCTGCCATCTGTGTCTATGTAACCTGTATCCCCGGTTCGAAACCAGCCATCTGGACTGAAAGCTTCGCTGGTGGCTGTTTGGTTGTTGTAGTAACCAGAAAATACAAGCGGGCCTTTGAGTTCCAAGTGCCCTACTTCTCCTGGACACGCGAGAATGCTATCCGTCGCTATGGAGACGATTCGTGCCTCAACTCCAATAATACATCTGCCTAAAGCAGCAAACTCGTTGTCGTTGCAAGTGTCATATGCAGGAAAGTCCATACTATAGATGCACCCTGCACACGTCTCAGTCATGCCGAATCCAGGGACGATGACATTTTCAGGTGCGCCGTGCTGGGCCAGCAATCGCGACACTTTTGCACCGGTACTAACAACAACAGCCTCCCCGCCGGACACAATGTATCGCAGACATTTCAAGTCAAAGCGAGATCCATTTTTCCCTCGGGAGGCTTCCAAATACCGGCCAACATCGGCGAGGAAGAAATTGGGCGCGAATGTTCTAGCTACCCGATGACGACTTATGAGGTCGAGGAACAAGGCTGGGCGAGAAATGATCTCGTTGGGTGGGACGTGAACTTGATCGTACCCGACAAAGAGTGCATGGAGATGAATCTCGATTAAACTTCCGACGTGGTCGAGGCGAATCCAATTCAAGAATGAGTGGCCAGTGTCATCAACGCGCAAGGACTGGCTTTTGCCTTGAAGGGAAGCCAAGATCTGATTATGCGTTAGGGACACAGCTTTTGGCAGACCAGTACTTCCAGATGTGAGCATCATCAAAGCCGGACTGCAGCCATCGCAGCCAATTGGTACTCTAGAACTAGTTTCTGTAATAGCGGCAAAGTCGGCTGGTGAGTCGTTCAATGATTCTATAGTCACCGTGCGCAAAGGAGACTTTCTTGGAAACAAGTCTTGGAGGCTTTTTCGAGTGAGACAGATAGGACTCTCGAACATCTCGCTTAAGTGACAGAGGTGTCTTATCCGGTGATCTTCACACCGAGGTAGAGCGGTAGACATTGCAGGGATGTAACCTGCATATAAGGTAGACCAGAACCATATGATATTGTCCAGATGGTCCTCAAAGTGAAGTAGTATGACAGGAGACTTGATATCGCACTGCAGCCGGCGCAGTTGTATAGCATTGGACGCAGCCAATGAGTCGAGCTCTGTGTACTTCAATCTCGTGGAGGAGCCGATCCCTGAAAGGCCAGAAGAATAAGAACAGACACCACGAAGCCCCTGGTTATCTGCTGCTCTGCGGAGAATGTCTAGTAAGGAGCCCAAAGTCATAATGTGAGCAAATATTGTGAATAATGAAATCAGGGCTCGAATGAAATCAAAGAGATATGACAAAGATTGGTGCTAGAATTGAGAAGAAAAGAAGGGTCTGATGCCGTTATCTGCGAGTTCTGGAATTATGCATCGAGATGTGCTATTTTATACTTCTCAAGATACAGACAAATATAAAGAAACAAACATTTTCTAATTTTATCTTGCTTGCGAATAAACCGCACGGAAGATGACATCGCTGGAACCGGAACGCGGTCTGAAAAGAAGAGCAAGCAGGGTTTTACTGGAGAGTAGGTGACGATCTGCCTTCCATGCTGCTTGACCTTGTGTAGCCAAAGTATCGCATCGGAGAACCTACCCAGGAAGGCGATTACGCACATCATCAGATCAATCTCTGTTTGCCTGGAGAGCAGCGTCACTGGTCCACGGGATGAGATTACAGTCTCCGTATTAACTCGGCGTTGGCAAATGCCGAGATGAAAACGATATCATGGACAGGTGCGCTTTTCTTGTCTCCTAATTGATTCTATTCGCACCTTCCTCTTACTTGTTCCCAACTTGGATGTGGGACAACGGATTGCAGCAGCGAGGGACGATCGTCGATCCATCCATTGATACTATAGGAAGCATTGGCACTCCCTTCCTGATCTAGATAGTACTATGCCATAGTTGCATGGTTTCGGTACGGTCACTCGATGATGGTCGGAGTCAGACTAGTGAGAGGAGACGATGAGATGATAATCAATGCAAGGAATTGTGCCCATTCCACATAACTCGGACACCGGTGACTTGGGTTAAACATGAGACAGTGATTCTTGAGGCGATTTATGAGGCCTTGTTACATTGATGTGTAAACAGAAACGAGATTCCGCCAGCTCTATCGACCTGCATCGTTTATTTCACACGTACCCAGCAACATGTATCGGCCCTCAGAAGAGGCAAGAAGGATTTTCGATCTTCTTCGTCAGAACTCCGAACGCCTCGGTCTTCCAGCCGATATTCTTACTAGCCAAGTACAATTTCATTCTGATTTAGATATGATTCACTATCCGATCCCTTTCAAGGTCACCGAGGCCCTGGCCGCCCTCAAGGGGATAGAAGGGGCCCTGGCAGCTTTGATAGCGGATCTACAATCAGAGACTAAGCCACATGAACGAAAGACTACAATCAACCTTGAAAGGGCAACGCTTTTCGGCTTTCAAGCACTAATCACCAAGATCAATGGATACTCTCGGTCTGACCCCGAGGTCAAAAGGTACTTGAAAGGTGAGACAAGTCACTCCCTTTTCCATGGTGCAGGGAGCGGGGATTGACAACATGAAGATACGGATATCCATGCTGCACAATCAAATCCGTATCGGCGGATGGCAGCCAGTATGTATCGGACCAAGAACGACAACGAGTTCTTCCATTTGCATGGTTCTTTAAACCCCACTCCCACTCTAAATATGATCGGTCTAGACAGCCACTGCGCGGATCTCACTAATTACGATGATATCATAAACACTATCCAAAGCCAAGTTCAGAAGTTCTCCGCAGCTGACCTAGAGACCCTCAACGAGACTTATCGGCAAGCAGGGGTAACGGTGTATGAGTATGAGGAATTCATCAACACCCCTCATGTAAGGTGATCCTTGCAGCTCACACGGATAGAATGCCAAAGTATACTCACATTACTGGGCAGGGTAGAACTAACATCCAGGAACCATGGTGGAAGGTCATGCGCCTGCCAGGGGAGACACCTCCAGCCGCGTTCAACCCTAGTGGAAGTCCTAGGATACTCGAAAGCATCAAGGTCTTGGAGCTCTGTTGTGTCATTGCAGGGCCCATCATCGGTCGTACATTAGCCGAATATGGAGCGGATGTCTTGAAGATTACATCGCCAACGGTGCCTGACGTGCCATTCTTTCAGGTCGACAATAACATGGGCAAGCGTGCTGTGGAATTAGATCTCAAAACTGACGAGGGCCGCCGCCAGTTCGAAGCCCTTCTCGCCGATTCTGACGTGGTCATCGATGGTTACCGCCCTGGTGCCCTTCAAAAACTTGGTTACAGTCCAGAAAGTATGGCCGCTATGGCAGAAAAGCGTGGAAAAGGCATCGTCTACGTAGACGAAACCTGCTTTGGGCACGCAGGCGAGTGGTGCCATCGCCCAGGATGGCAACAGATAGCTGACTGCGTATGTTACACACAAGATAAGCTTTGCAAGGCCATTATAAAATACTGACCTGCAAATAGCTTACCGGGTTTGCAAGGTGTCATGGGAGGTTCCTCGGGCGTGCGGAACCGATGGTATCCCCATTGCCTATAGCGGACTCTGGCGCCGGTTGCATGGGCGCTATCGCTGCCTTGACTGGTCTTTACAATCGGGCTCAATACGGTGCTCGTATATTGGTCAGGTTTCCTTGATGCAGTTCAACCTGCTGCTCTTCGCAGCCGGAAAGTACCCTGAATCGGTGGAGTCACAGTTGCAGAAATCTTTTGCTCCTGCATTCTCCAAAATACGCTTCTGCGATAGCGTCGGCCGCAGTTCTGTCTTAGCATTAGAGGTTATGAGGGAACGATTTCCATACCTCTTTGTGGAGCCATCTCTTGAAGATCGCCAGAAGAATCTGGCAGAGGTGTGGTACTCTCATCACTACGGTGCGGACGTGGAAGTTGTACGACCTGTAGCTGAGATCGAGGGGGTTATGAACGGTTTCGCTCGTGCAACGAGACCAAATGGTGCAGATGTATCTCCATCCTGGGAATTCCCTGAAGAACAGGGTTCATGGAAGCTTTAGGCCTATACAAGTATACAAGTCTGTCGATGAGACGGATTGCAACATCGGACAGAACAGGGTGTCGGATCCTGGGTTATCCCAGCTAGATTACAGGGAACTTCACGAATGAAGTAAGCAGAGATGGGCTTTAAAGAACGTATTATTGATTCTATTGGTTCGGTTTCGGATTTTTTTTTTACTCGCATATGTCCGTCCACCCTGTTCTGTGTTAGTATGACGATGTCCCATCCATTCATATTCCCAACTCCCATTCTACCAAGACATTTCATTACTGCTCGATGTAGACATCAAGAATTTCTTCACATGCAGCCCCACTAAAATAGTAGGTTACATACAAACCCAGTATCCAACAGGTCACAGAGTAGCAACACTGCAGGTGCGTTGATCTCACCACGCCCATCCTGAAGAAGACAAGAATCGAGGTCATCATGCTAGTAAGTCAACCTTGTGATAACCCGACCTTGGTTTTGCCTCGGAATGTAAGCCCTTGCTGCCTCTTTGCCGGAATCAGTAGCATATGCACCATGATACTATAAAACTCATGTTCATCGGGATATAGATTCCGTGGCCAATCGAAGAGAATGGAGTACATATAGGTTTTGACCACTGCATACATAGGACTTGATCCTATTTTCATATCATACCCACGCTTTGTCAATAATAAAATATATCCCCTAGACTTTCGGATGCTCCGCATCACCTCTTCAACAGACTCACCGGCCGCTCAGGATATTGCACTGTCGCGTATAAGCAACCTTCTCAACTCTCAGAACCAAAGGTCCCTGGCCATCGAGCAAGCATGAACGCGCAAAGCAATACCAAGGCCTTCAATCCTCCAGCGCCAAGAGTGCCCTCTGACAGGCTGGATGTTTGGTATTCTCATCATCTCCAGGCTCCTCGACACCTTTACGACATTAAAGACTAGCCAAGCATATACAGGTCAATCGTTAACGAGGCAGCCGCCGTATCTCCAATCCAACCAATCGTGAACTTAGGGCAAGGCTTCTTGTGAGCCTATTCCTTCTGTTTGCGTGGCTAATCATACACCTAACGACCTATGAAGTGGCTTTAATCCGCCTCAGTTTGCTATAGATGCAGCCAAGGAAGCCCTCAATCGGGTTAATTGCAATCAGTGCGCTCCAACGAAGGTAAAGTTTGAAACACAATCTCGTTTATCAGAGATAATATATACTGACTTCAACAGGGCCGCCCAAGTCTGAGAAAGGCCATTGCGTCTGCTTATTCGAAACTTCTCGAGAGACCAATTGACGAGGGAAGCGAGGTCGTCATCACTTCGGGTGCGAATGAAGGTAAGCCTTTAGATAAAATACTTCTGGCCGGTCGCTGATCAACTAATATGCAGGCATGCTGTGTGCATTACTGGCCTTCATTTGTCCCGGTGATGAAGTCGTTACATTCGAACCGTTCTTTGACCAGTGGGTGTTCCCCGACCAAGTCATTAGATCTAGACATCTAATTATCAGCCATTGTGCGATAGATATAGAAGTGGAATTGAACTTGCCGGTGGTATCCCTCGCTATGTGCCTCTTCACCCTCCAAAGGACAGCAACAGGGCAATATCAAATGCCTCTGATTGGACAGTTGACTTTGAAGAGCTCGAAAAAGCCATAAACAAGAACACGAAGATGATTGTATGAGCCATATCTCTCTTGTCTGTTCTATATTCCTTCCATATACTTACTAGCCAACTGCAGATTCTCAACACACCGTACGCACAACCCCTTCCACTCACACCTCTGCAAGCCAACAAACTAACCACCGCGCTACAGCCACAATCCCGTCGGAAAAGTCTTCACAGGACCAGAACTCCAGCGCATCGGCGAAATCTGCTTGAAGCATGACCTTCTCATTCTTTCTGACGAGGTCTACGACCACCTTTACTATGTCCCCTTCACGCGAATCGCAACCCTCTCCCCTGACCTCTACGACCACACACTAACCGTCGCGTCCGCCGGCAAAGCCTTCCACGCCACAGGCTGGCGAATCGGCTACCTGATCGGTCAACAGCCGCTCATCAAATATGTTTCCGCGATACACACTCGCATTTGCTATAGTAGTGTATCTCCGTTACAAGAAGCAGTGGCGGTTGCCTTTGAGAAAGCAGACGAAAACGGCTTCTGGGAGCATAGTCGGCAGGAAATGAAGGGCAAGATGAGCTTGTTCTCTGAGGTTTTTGAAGCTCTGGGATTACCTGTTAGTGTTTCCTCTTCTTCCACTCATGGAGATGTGGGAAAGATCCTGCATAATGACAAGATTTCCTCAGTACACCGAACCCGAAGGCGGATACTTCGTCCTGGTGAACTTGTCCAGGGTACAGATTCCCAGCGATTACTCCTTCCCAGCTCATATCGAACAACGAAGAAGGGATTTCAAGCTTTGCTGGTTCTTGATCCAGGAGATAGGCGTTGCTGCTATCCCGCCGTCGGAGTTTTATAGTGATGATCATGCGCATATAGGTGAAAATTTTCTTCGGTTTGCGTTTTGCAAGGAAGATGAGTTGTTGGAAATGGGCAAGCAGCGGTTACTTAAGTTGAAGAGGTATATTGTTTGATGTAGACGGCGATTGAGCTTTTCAGTGATACCGTCCATAGGGTTTGTACTCAATGCTTGGTTCTGATTTACTGAGAAATTTGCTGCTATAATCATACTTTCTCGATAGATTCGCTTGGTTATAGTAAGCCCCTTATGCACTTCGTAGTGATACGTATGATAGAAAGCTATACTAGCTGGAGGGTAACGAGGTTTGCTGGGTCTTCTTGCTGGTATGTAGAGTTTAGACTAAATGAAATCGAGTTTAATCGAATGTCTTCTCATCTGTCTCACACTTATCGTTCACAATATGTCGGGTTCCAAGACCTTTTACCTTCTCTATTCCAAATTCTTCTTTCCTTTCTCCTCAGCTCTGTTTCTTCTTACTACAAAACAGTGAGTCACATCATGTTTTCTCATATCGTTTGGTAGGAAGTTCGTATTGTTTTTGCACATTAGGTTCGCGGGTAAGTACTGAGATATATAATCATATCCACTATTCATGCGGATGGTCTTGATATAACATTAAACATGCAACTACTCGTAAGAATAGTCAGTTGAGAACACTAGTAGATCATCACGGTGATCGCATCAATTATGCGTGTACTGGTTTTATTATACTTTCGTATGATGTTTGGAATGCTTCATGCTTTCGAGAAATCAATTCAGGGAATGCGGGTTACTTCGGTGCACATGGTCGGTGCTCTTCTACATAATTAAATGGTTCCTTCAGCCAAAATATTACATGCCATAGCTGTCACTAATCTACTAGTTGGTTAATAGGATACGCTTTAACGACTCAGCAGGTTGTACAAATGGCCGATTTGCTTTTTCATATCGTGTACCTCTTGCGCTATCGCCACTGCACTGTAGATCTTGTAGATCGATGCTGATACAGGCATGTCTTGCATACTTGTTTCACTCTCCTGCTGCTAATAGTAATCTCATCATCATGCTACTCCTCGGAAACACAGTCACCGATGCAAGGGAATTCTCCGTCTGGAAGGAGATAGGCTATTGCTCCAATGATCGCCGAAACTAGTGGTATGCTGTGTTCGTAACAGCATGGCGACTGACACTGCTGCTGCTGCTGCTGGTTAGGGACCAGCAAGTCCAACTCTTCGGGTCACTCTTGTCTCTTCAGACATCACGATGGAACCAACAAAGGAAGGTGATATTTGCACCGTGGTCCAAGCAGCCCTGAGTGATAACGAGAAAAGCGATGATTCCCAGACGCTTGTCCGCTGCGAAGACTCGTCATCTTTTCCGGAAGGAGGATGGCGAGCCTGGTTAGTAGTCTTGGGCGCATGGTGCGCCATCTTCCCAACGATGGGGATAATGAATCTGTACGGGTTGTTGGAAGACTGGCTGGCGGAACACCAGCTACATGGATATTCGAAAGCATCCATTTCGTGGATATTTAGCTTGTGGCTATTTTTCTTCTATCTTGGTGGCATCCAGATCGGTATGCATCTCTTCCATTCCGACGCTCAAATATCTACTGACGGGGTCCTGTAAGACCTATATTTGATGCACATGGGGTCAGATACCTCCTCGTACCTGGCTGTATTGGCATGACCTTGTCGATGATGTTCCTCAGCGTCTCCCACGGTACGGTTAAATATCTCCAGCACCGGATTAATGGCTGACGTTTGCCTGGAAGCATACTACCAATTCATCTTGGGATTTAGCATCCTAGGTGGGCTTTCCGCGTCAGCAGTGTACACACCCAGTGCTGCGTGCATCACGCACTGGTTTCTCAAAAAACGTGGTCTGGCGACCGGGATCGCAACGACAGGGGGAGGCATTGGAGGAATCATCTTCACCAATGTGTTCGGAATCCTGAGCATTAAGATCGGATTCCCCTGGACAATTCGCATCCTGGGATTTATATTCCTCGCTAGCCTAATGGTCAGCCTGCTTACTCTTGAAGCACGTCTCCCACCTAGTTCATCGGCAGGGAGCAAGATCGACATTCGCGCCCTCAAGGAGCCCGTCTTTACTATGACTTCCATCGCTGTCATTTTCGCGGAAATCGGCCTGATAGTACTAGTTACTTATTATCCGTCCTATGCACAATCGCACGGCATCACTGGCGCCCTTTCCTACCAGCTCATGACGATCATGAGCGCAACTTCTATCTTCGGCCGCGTCATTCCGGGAGTTCTAGCGGATATATGGGGCCGCTTCAACGTTATGTTTGGAACCTGTGCTATATGTACTATTCTGTCCTTTGGGCTGTGGTTTACAGCAGGCAACGACAGGGCATGCATCCTGGCTTTCGCGGCATTGATTGGATTCTGGAGCGGACCAGCGATAAGTCTGACACCCGTCTGCGTGGCTCAAATCTCGAAAACCGAGAGCTATGGTAAACGATTTGGAACAACAATCGCGTTGATGGCATTCGCCCTGTTAGTTGCCATTCCTGTGGCTGGTGAGATCTTGAAGGGGCAGAATCGGGGGACAGTAGAGACGGAGTATTCCGGCTTGATTGGGTTCTGTGGCGCGGCGTATGCTGGAGCTTGCCTGTTTCTGTTTCTAGCCAAAGGGGCCAGTGTTGGCTGGCGGGTGACCAAAGTATTTTGAGCAATTAGTAGGGTTTGCTCCAGATTAAGGGTAGATAGAATAGAGAGTTATAGAATAGATAGCCTAGATATAGAGCAGTGGAAGATGAAGCAGCATCCGCCCGGCTTCTCGATCGGGCAAGACGCACGGACCCGAACACGCGCCGCTTTGGACTTTGGATTCTCGCAACAATCCGACGGAGCTTCTCATTCTCCAATACCACATTGTTTATTGCCTTCCCGGTTATCCCTCTCTGTTCGCAGGACTGTACCCGGTGTTTCAATCTAGCAACTGCCAGCGTGATATCCGACCCCCGTCTGCGAGAGTGTCTTGCCTGCTGAGGGACGCCGCGGTCTGTTTACGCTCCCCGGACGCCGTCGCCCCTCCAACCCGCCTCATGCCTTTCTGTCCATGCGACCGTTGTGACAGCCCCTCGCTCTTGAATCGCACTTAATTTTCGTCTCCCACGTGCTTCATTTGGTCATGGAGAAGTTTCTGCGCTCCTGGCGTCAGGATGCGCTGAACCGGGGCCAGCATGATGCGGCCATCTACATCGGCGATAAAGTGCTCGCGCTGACCAGTGAGTGACTGACCAACCCAGCATCACCCCGATCAGTGCTAAGCCTAAGCCTATTACTTCTCTAGACAGCGACTCCGATGCCTTTTGGCTTGCACAAGTACACTTTTCGAACAACAACTACGCCCGTGCCTTGGCCCTCCTGTCGCGGAAAGACCTGATCTCGAGAAGTACGGCCTGTCGCTATCTGGCTGCGCACTGCCACATCAAGCAGAATCAGTTCGATCAAGCACTTGCAGTCCTAGGCGACCATAATCCTACGCACCTTATACGCAGCAGCAATAGTCGCCGCAAAATCCAACACCTTAACGGTCAGAGCCATGTTACCTTGCGGAACGGAAAGACGACAGCGTCGCGCATCGATCGGGGCGAAGAGCGAGAGCGGGAGGATGCAAGCAACGTTCGGTTTGAGGCGGCAATGTGTTACCTACGGGGACTCTGCTTTGCGAAACAGAATGCGTTTGACCGGGCTCGCGACTGCTACAAGGACGCCGTGCGCATCGATGTGCAGTGCTTCGAGGCTTTTGACCAGCTTATGAAGAATTCCCTCATGTCTCCCGCAGAGGAGCTGGAATTCCTCGAGTCGCTTGATTTCGACTCTGTCTCGAGTCCCGACCCCTCAGTCGCCCAGGAGGCCGCCCATTTCACGAAGATGCTTTACACCACCCGATTGTCGAAATATTCCTCGCCGACAATCCTCTCCGACGCTACCGAAACACTCTCAACGCACTACAACCTAGCGGAGAATGCGGATATCCTGCTTTCTCGCGCAGAAGCTCTATATACGCAATGCCGTTTTGCCGAGGCTTTAGAACTTACTTCGTCAGTTCTGTCCACATCTCAGTCGGCAGCATCGTCGCAAATGACGCCTGCAATTCATATTTCCGCTCAAAGCCACCTAGGACATCCGCCGGCCGTATACCCCTTGCATTTGGCTTGCTTGTATGAGACGGGCGCCACAAACGCCCTGTTCCTTCTGTCCCATACGCTTGCCGATCACGCTCCCGAGGAGTCTTATACATATCTTGCAATCGGTGTTTATTACCTATCCGTCTCTAAAATTGCGGAAGCTCGACGCTACTTCTCCAAAGCGTCTCTTCTGGACCCGCATTCTGCGCCAGCATGGATTGGCTTCGCTCATACCTTCGCTGCCGAAGGAGAGCACGATCAAGCCATTGCAGCGTATAGCACTGCAGCTCGGCTTTTCCAGGGCAGTCATCTACCACAGCTCTTCCTGGGAATGCAACATCTTGCGCTGAACAACATGTCCTTGGCCCATGAGTATCTGTCGGCCGCCTATGCCATGTCGACTGGGGCTGCGTCCGGCTCTGCTCCTTCGATAAGGGCGAATCCGTCGGAACTCACATCGTTAGGCGGTGACCCGCTCGTCCTTAATGAGCTTGGTGTAGTTTTGTATCACCAGAACCACCTCGAAGGCGCTGTCGAGTTGTTCCGCCAGTCCCTCACACTAGCCACATCGCTTCAATGTGAACCTGGGGCCTGGGTTGCCACGAGAGCCAACCTCGGACACGCGCTGCGCCGTATCGGTCAACTTCAAGAGTCACTGGCCGAGTTCGACGAGTGTCTTCGCATTGGTGCGGCGGGTGCGAGCTTCGGGTACAGCCCGTTCTTAGGGGGCAGCGGCGGCAATGCCTCTGGGGTCGCGTCATCTGGAGTTGGAGGCTACGAAGATCGAGGATTGATTGGATCCCTGCACACTGCTCGCGGTCTGGTCCTATTGGAGCTGAACCGCACCATGGAAGCTGTAACAGCCCTGCACGAGGCAGTACGTGTTTTGGGAGCGAGTGGTGGTGGTGATGCAGCTGGTGGTGCCGGCATTGCTGGCACGCTCTTATCGCGGGCACTGGAAATCTGGGCATTAGAAGGCCAGGAAGAGCCTGTGGTGTTAGAAGATGCCCGGACTACCACAAGCCGCAGCTCAACACGGTCATCCAAGGGAAAGGGGAAAGTGTCTCGACGACGTGGGACAGTGGACGAGGCATACGCCGAGGAATGGACTGATGAGGTTGCTCACGTCGACAGCCAAACAACAGTCACAGAGGAGACAGCGGGAGACAGGGTGGAAATGGAACTTGATGACGAGGCGGATGGACTCCTCCGACATGCCATGAGCCGTGTACGCGGCGGACGAAGCAAACGACAGGCGGGCGTGAGTCGGGACATGGAAATGAACGACACGCCAGGTCCGGCAGGAGGCCGCAGCCGAGGGTCGCGGATGCGAAGCAACGCTAGACATAGTTGAAGGACACAGGGAAACATTGGAGCATAGCAACTAGGCGTTTGGAGAGGTATACCCTGGTTTTGTCATTGGAGCTGGCACCATGGTTCGGTTATAGCATTGGAGGCGTATATCATTCAGTTAGATCCAAGCATAATTAGTAAGCATTGAGCTACCTGTGCATAGATAAGAAGTAGTCACGTGAGAATATCCGATAGCATAGCATCGCATCGCAATCGCCATCTACACTTACCTTCTACAATTTCCAACTTAACCTCAACACCTTTCCACCCATACAACCACAACTACTTGTATTCGACCGTGACATCTATACCGCCACCATGTCCGAGCGAAAGGTTCTCACGTACGTCTCACCCCACAACCTCCCCAAGAAAGAAAGGGACAACAGGAACTAACCCAACCTCAAAACGTACAGGAAATACTACCCCCCGGATTTCGATCCCAGCGCTATCACGCGCACACCGAAGCACCTACGCCAGTGAGTATCCGTATCCTTCTATCCCTATGCCCTCTTCTCCAGATATCTAACCAAAATCCTCCTCCCAGACAAGGACCCAAAGTAATAACCGTCCGACTAATGGCGCCCTTCTCCATGAAATGCACGAAATGCGGTACGTCCCTCACCCAATATAATATACCCTCTTAATACCGCCCCAGCCCTCTCCTTCCAGGTCAATACTAACATGTCTTCGATAAAAAAAAATGCAGGCGAATTCATCTACAAAGGCCGCAAATTCAACGCACGAAAAGAAACCACATCGGAAAAATACTTCTCTATCCCGATCTATCGATTCTACATCCGGTGCACGCGCTGCAGCGGAGAAATCACATTCTTGACGGATCCCAAGAACATGGATTACCGAGCGGAGCGGGGCGCGAAGCGCAACTTCGAGCCGTGGCGGGATAGAAGCAAGGCGGAGGAGACGGCGGAGGAGACTGAGGAACAGGTGCTTGATCGACTGGAGCGCGAGGAAGGGGAGAATGTGGAGCAGGAGGAGAGGGATAAGATGGCGGAGTTGGAGGAGAAGATGTTGGATTCGAAGAGGGAGATGGCGATTGCGGATGCGTTGGATGAGATTAGGACGAGGAATGCGAGGATTGAGAGGGGTGGGGCGGGGGGTCGGAGGTGGCGTTGGGGGCTGTTAGGGAGGAGAGGGATGAGGAGGCGGAGAGGGTGGAGAGGGAGATTGAGGAGGTGGCGAGGAGGGCGTTTAGGACGGAGGAGGGGGAGATGGTTAGGAGGTTGGTTGTGGAGGATGAGGGGGTTCCTGGTAATGGGGAGGGTGCGGGTGGGAGTGTCGCTGCCAGTGGCAGCGGTGCTGGGGAGATGCCTCCGCCGCCGCCTTCGTTTGCGAGGGTAAAGAAGGCGAAAAAGCCTGCTGTTAATAGCTTGGGGATTAAGAAGAAGGCCAAGCCGTCGTTGGTTTAATTTACTGGTATTTGGGGTTGGCGTTCGGCTCATGAGCATGGAGTTTTGTTACTATACGGGCATTATCATGGTATATTAAACTGAACATCTTGATTGATTAAATAATTGTGATACAACAACAATGCATAATCGCGTCAAACAAGTAGATACGCAGAAGATCCCTGTTTTGCCCCGAAGCGCCACGCTAGAATGAAACCACTGGCTGGAAATCCCGTAAGCCCTCAGCCCGAACGAAAACGCCAAGAGAACACAGACAAGGCAAACAGATAGAAGAAACAGCGACCAGCTTCACAGATATGGCATCCAGAGAGCATCGCAGGCGGCGAGGTGCTGCGGGTTCACAGCCTTGGAGATCAGATCGATCGTGGTTTGGTTGGCTGGCAGGTTACCCTCAGGTGGACTGGCAAGGCTGACGGCCCGGTTGACAATGACATCGCTATTGTTGTAGACCAGATCGCGGAGCTGCGGTGGTCCCAGAGGTGCACGGTGCTGGGCCGTGGCCCAGAACATCATCTCGTCCCGGACAAAGATACTGAGCTGCTGCTCAAGTTCGTGTCGGGGCTCCGTGAGGCAGCGTGCAATGGCCATCAATGCGCATGCAAACAGTCCCTCCGTAGCAATCGGTCCTAGCAACGTCTGGATGTTGGGGGTGAAACGGAATGGCACTTGCTCGGGGTTGTAGAAGAATGCCTTGGTCGGGTTGATTGTGGGGATCAGCTCCGAGCCCCAAATGTCACCCGTCAACCTCGACACCAGAATCTTGTTAGGATACCGGTTGCCCATGTGCATCACGTAGGTCATAAAGGCAATGGCCGCATATTGGTAAGCAAACTGCCGCCGGAAGAGCCAGAAGTCCGAGAAGTTCGGGTACATGCGCTGGAAGTAGTCCAATACAATCGTACTGGGAACCCACTTCTCCTGGATGGCAGTGAGCATCTCGGTACGCAGGACCTGCTGCTGGTCGTTGGAGCGCTGGAAGACGTCAGTGTCGTTCGTTTGCGTGGGCGTGTCAGTGTCACTTACGTTCTGTTTCGTTTCTGCCAGAGACCTCATCTTCTCCATGGTAAACATGACAGGCTCGTCCTTGTTGATACCCACACGTCGGCAGTAGTCCTCATAGATGCCCTGCATGGAGATGTAGGACGGGTCATCCCGAACCAGGCGAATGTGAGGCGCCAATGGAACCATAAGCGGGAGATGGAAGTACAAGTTGCGGCGCCGGCTCTCCTTGCGCTTGCCCAGAAGTCCGTTGAAAATACGGAACAGCTGCAAGATGCGCTCCTCTCGTCTGCAGTGCCGGGCTGCGGGATGCTGGACTGCAAACGGATGCACACTACCATCGTGACCGCGGATCTTTAGGCGACGGTGGCAGACTCCGATACCGCGTACCAGATCAATGTCTGGAAGGAAGCGGTCGATCCGAACGAAGTCTTGGTTCTTGTCCTTGTGCAGGAGGTACTGGCCCGGCACCTCGACTTCGTCGAACTTGAGGAAGCGGAACTCACTGAGGTGAGGCGAATACGTCTCCAGGAATTGAGACTGAGGTCTGCGGTCGAGCTTCTCTTCAAACTTGTCACGCCAACGACGCAGCTTCTGGATGTACTCGTACATCGTTGGCTTCTTGACCACAAAGTCCGCCTCGAAAGACTTGCGGATGTGGGCAGGGAGAATGGTCTCAGCAAAACGCGTGATATTCGCCTCAGTTGCAGGGGGCAGCTTGAAGTCCTGCGCATAAGAGCCCGGCATGCGACCCACGTAAGCCAATCCATCGTTCAACAGCGCAACAATGAGACGATAGGCATCCTCGTCAGGGGGACACTTGAAGTTCTTGTGGATTTGATCCACCATGGTCTCCATGGACAAGGCCAGCAGAGGGAAAGCAGTCTTGAGACCGGACATGATCTCATCGGAATACTCCCACGGCTTCTTGAGCGGCTCCTTCTCAGGTTCCGCACCAGCAGCGTTCTGATTCTGCTGCGGCACTCCATTTTGTCCGGGAACCTGCAGATGGCCTTGTTGCTGGCCTTGTTGCTGGCCTTGGCCTTGTGCCTGTTGCGCTTGGGGCTGTCCTTGGTTGGGCACTTGCCCTTGAACAGGTGCCTGGGGTTGGGCTTGAGGTTGGGCTTGACCTTGAGCTTGAGGCTGACCTTGAACCTGGCCTTGAATAGGAGTCTGCTGTGGCTGGTTCTGGTTGTTGGCCTGGCCTGCATTCGGCATCTGGCCTTGCGCTTGCGCTTGGGGTTGTTGTTGTGGCTGTGGCTGGTTTTGTGCAGGTTGTTGACCACTTGGAGCCTGTGGAGTCGGAGTCGGAGTGGCATTGACTGTTTGGGCGTTCTGGAGGGGGGAGGCATTTGCAACTCCCGGCGAAGGCTTGGGCCGTGGAGAAGCCTGTTGTTGCTGCTGCTGCTGCTGTTGTCTGACACGATTAAGCTTCTCCTGCTTCTGATCGTGCTGTTTCTTGATGTTAAGCATATCCTCCCTGTTTGTACGGAGCAGGAAGAACAATGCTTGCGGGAACAACTTAGCAATCTTGACGAGAACAGCCTTGCACAGACGAGCTTCGCGATGTGACAAGCTGGTAAGGAGCTGCGGTATGAACGTGATCCAGTACCAAACTGGAGTATCGCCCTTGAAACTCTCAAACGCGCGCGCAATCTGACCCTCTTCGTTGTCCAGGCTGAGAAGCCAAAGGATGCGACTGAGCAGCTTCCTCGACTTGGCATTCTTGTACAGACCAGCAGCCTCCAAGTAGCAGCTGACAGCATTGCTGGCGAGCTCATAGTCCGAAGGGTCAGACTTGAAACGTTGATCGCTGTACTGTCCCCACTCCGACCAGGCTTTGGCAAGTCTTAGCTCGTAGTAGAGAGCCACACCATATGCCTCATTCGCCTCATTAACGTGGTTCAGCTTGGCAAGGAACATTCCCTTCAAGGTATAGAACTCTGCCTTTTGTTGAGCACCGAAGTAGTTGAGATTCGTATTATTGATGACGTCCAGCCCACTATTCAGCTCCTTGGGGTTCTGGTAGTGGCACTTGGCCTGTTCCCTAAGCTTCAAGAAAGCCTCTTGAATCTCAATGTTCGGCAGAGTGTAGATACGGCTAAGCTGGTTGATGCAAACCTCCGGCATTTGATGCTTGCGAGCAACGTGAGCAAAGCGGTTGATGATCCAAGCTGTCTCATGGTATCCACGGTAAGCATACGAATTGCTCGCCACGTTGTTGGTCTGCGGAGGCAGAAGGCTAAGATATGTCGCATTGATGAGCTGGAAGATGTGCTGCCGCCATGTAACCAGGTCTTGCCAAGCGTTGATATCGTCCCAGAGATTAGGCAAACGGTCTCTCCACGTACCCAAGAGCAGCTTCAACTCGGCAGACTTCGTATCGAGGTTACGCTCATTAGTCTGCGAAAGACTGGCGCAGATGTGACTGGCATCATGAAGCTCAACCAGCAGTTGGAAGTGCTGCAGGATCGGGATATGGGCATTCGTGATCCGCTTCGGCAGCTGGAGCCACTTCCTAATGGACAGCTGGATTGATTCATCGCACACACCGTTGAACTCCTGAATGTTCTCCTTCTTGATATGGAATTGAAGTAGCGCCATAAACGCCTGGAAGAAGGTGCGTCGCGGAGTCGGCGCGTCAGAAACAGACTTGATGAGAGACTCAAGCTGCTCCCTGCTACTTTCGCTCTGCCAGTTCTCAATGTTCCTCCATGCAGACTCTAAGAGGAGGTCGTTCAGGTTCTCGTGCTTCGCAAAGTCGCTGAGGATCTCCCATTGCTGCAACTTCTGTGCACAGATGAGCCAGTGATCTTCCCAGAGATAGTATTCGCCTTGTGAGAACGGCATTGCACCCGAGCGAGCCTTGATCTGGGCGTTTTCGTATAGCTGTTGAGCCTTATCCCACATTCCCTGCTGCTCATAAGAGAGAGCGGCGTTAGTCTCCACAAACTTACAACGGCGCCGCCACGTGCCATAGAAGAAGTCATCTTCTTGCAGCCCTGCATATACTTCTACCAAAGCATCAAGGTTGCTTTCACGGACAGTAGGAGTATCAATGATAGGGCTGATGGCAGTCTCCTCAAGATACGTGGCAGCAGTATACCAAGCATCATAGGTTCGACTGAGATACTTCATCACATGTGGCGGGATCTTGAAACGTGGCTTAGCGCGCACCACACCTTCAAGCAAAGCTTGGACGACATTGGGCCTTTTGTCAAGTTGACGTTGATGATACTCGCGCGTAATCAGAGTCACCATTCCCTTCTCCAGATCGATGCGGTCCTCCTTGGACAGAGTAGACCAGAAGATAGGGAATAGAGTCGTCCAGAGCTTATAGGACACGGTAGGGTCGGTGTGCTGGAGTTGACACAGAGGCTCAATGAGATCGCGAGCTTTAACGTCGCCGATTTCACTTATGAATCGCTTGCGCTCGGAGACGAAAGCTTCCAGTTGAATGTCTACCATGACATCCGCCTTCCTTGAATCTTTATCGGCATTGCCATAGAGGAAAGACACGGGGTAAACGGTGAAATCATCCGGATGCAACCTCGCCGACGAACCCATATCCACACAGCCCAGGACTAAGTGAGACGCCTGGGCCAGCCAGAATGAGTCCGCCAGCGTGTCCCAGTTCTGACAGGTGAGCACGTAGCTGAGACGAGAGCTGGCTAAGCGGGTCAAACTGCGGTCAAAAATGGTCATGAAGCGGTTCCGCATCTCAACATCCTGTGCCCTGGTTCCGATCAAGAAGGCGTGCTCGAGTCGGACAGTCAATTCGGTCCGGGTGATTTTAGAATCCTCATAAATCCTGATGACAAGATCGAGGAACTTCTTGAGCATGGTTTGGTCTTGTCGCGACTCAAAGAGTAGCATTTTATGCAAAACCGCGGTCTTCTCCTTGAGTGTGGGCCATGACTCGGTCGAATGGAATATCCAAGTCTCGACCATACCCAGCACCTTGCTGCAAAGCTTGATGTTCTGAGACCGTTCAACCAACT